CCATTTCATTATTAAAATACACAGTTTCATACAGAAAAATTCATTTTTAATGCAATTAACACTAAGATGTTTGCAAATGCATTTCTAATCACTATATATCTGATGATTAGTAGTCACAGTTGGTTACTTTCTGAGATCCTTGGTATCTGAGCATGGATATAAAGTCATCAGGTAGATTTCAATGGTAATGTTTTTCACATCTATTAATTATTTAGGAGCAAATTTTTATGCTTTGAAGAATTTTTTAAATTTTGTTTTTAATTTAATAACCACATGATTAGAAAAAGCATTTCATTACAGCTTTAACATATTCAGTAACACACTCCAGGCCAAGGATACATATCTTTCAAAAGTGGCTGTAAATTTTTATTTTCACAGTTGAATTAATACCATTATACAATACTGAACTCAGTATAAACCCTGTAAGATATAAAATTGAATGAGGTTTTTATCCTTTAAAGAAGATCTCCATTTCATTTTAAAATACTTGTTTCCTACATTTTTAATGCTACTAATGCTTAGATGTTTGCACATGTGTCTTTAATCTCTATGTATCTGATGCTTACTAGTCACAGTCAGTTATACTTGGATCCTTAGTACCTGAGTATGGATATAAAGTAATCAAGTAGATTTTACTGGTAATGTTTATCACCTCTACTATTTAACATGAAGTAAATTTTTATGCTTCCTCCTCAACTATGTCTTTTTCTTTAAATTTGTTTTTTTTCCTGTGTGTATATCATACAGACCATCCCACACAATCTTATTCATCTATATACCCACTTCCCAAATGGCACCTTCCCATAGCCTCCCCCCTCCTACATACTGGAGCCCATATTCTCTGTCATCCCTGTTACTGTCCACTATGTTGTCAACACCCCCAGCCATTCTCCAGTGTTTGTCCATCTGCTGAATCTAGTCAGCGTATCTAGAAATCCTTGTTTTAGGAACACCACCTGTTCCTTGTCTAGCAGCAATCAGTTGTCAATATTCCTTTAGATAAGATTGGGGTCTGCTGTTTATTTTCCCAGTTCTAGGCTGGGTTACTCTCTGGGAGTCCCTTGGGCCCCCTGGCCAACAACTCAAAAGAAGGTATCTCCTATCTGGCATTGTTGCTTGTTATATAGCCTTTAGCTATGCATATAGACTCTTAAAAATTATATTAACCCAATTAATCTAGGGTTATACTTTCCTTTTGGGTATTTAAGGGAGTACATATTCTTAACCCAATTGCAATAATCAAAAATTTCTCTAGATAATGCAAAATATCCCTTGGCCATCCTTGGTCAATAATTACACTGAATAACTGATTGACTTGGTGGTAAACTATATTTGAATGACTTACCAAATGCATTGATGATTTTTCCAAAAGCTATGTGTGGTGACCTGTGCTAGATAATTCTGATCTATACATCATCATGGGATGTTATGGAGTCCAAGCAGAGGTACAATGAAAATGTGTTATGGAAATATGGGGCAGAATCAGAGGATGTCCTGCCATGTTGACACAAGAAAGACCTCTAGATAGGCTGACTAGATTCACCAGAGGGGCAAGTAGTGGGGAATGGCTGGGGGTGCCGATAACACAGCAGACAGTAGCAGGGGTATCAGAGTATAAGGGCTCTAGTGAGGGGAGGGAGGGTATGGGAGGGTGCTATCTGGGAAGTGGGTGTAAAAATAAATACATAAATTAAAAAAATTTTGCTAAAAATACTATAAGTAAAGGGATTAGCACAGTGACTCATACACAGAAAATGCTGAATAAATTACACAGACTTTTGATGTTGCATTTTTATTGTTATAAAGTTATAGAACTGCATACATTCGTTCCTGTCATTCCTGAAGTCTGGAGTGTCTCCAAGCACACATTTGGCAATTCTTTGGAACAGCAATTATCTGTTATTGTCCTGTGTTCTTTGACCTAGGTAACAACACTCTTGTGTTCTAACCAAATTACTCAACTAATGAAATTGTTTTTCTTCTGCCTAGTGACAATTGCAAAGTGCTGGAATTCATTAAGAATCTAATCAATGGAGTGTGTCTTTAGAACCACAAAGGGTCTTGTTGTTGTTTAATATTGGAATTAGGAATGGAGAGTTCAGCTTCATGAGGAATTTCTAATTTTTCTAGTTTTCTAGACTTTTAAAGACGTCCTTAGAATGATTATCAATAACTTCAGTGGGATGTGTTGAAACATACCTGTAATTTCAGCACTTGGAATGCTGAGGAAGGAGCATTAAGAGTTATAGTCTGGGCCTCTGAAGTACACCTTGTCAGAGAGGGAGAGGAGAAAGAAAAAGAAAGGGAGGGAGGAGAAAGAGAGAGAAAGCATTAGAACTATGCTTTACAACAAATATTATATATCCATATGGAAAGAATACATACATACAGATTTCCTTCAGGAAAGCATATTTTACCGAAGCACCTAAGATGTTCTTTAGTTAAAAATGCTATTCTAGATATCTTCCTAAATGTGTCAGTGCCCTCATATCTCATTCTTTGAAGCAAGGCAAATGCTAAGTTTCATGTTTATGCATGTAAATGTGTGTATATTACTGTGTGTTTTCTCTATTCTCTGAAAACATATTTTCTTTAAGCCCTTGTAACTCATGAAGCAAAACAGATGTGAAAGAATGTAGGGTCTCCTCTAATAACTTATTCCAAAAGTTGTTCAGAAAGATTAAATGAAACTGTTTCTGATTCTGGAAAAGGACATAACTTTGAGTCCTTTATCAAATAGCTTGATAGATATTTAAAACTTATCAGCTTTAGTCTTGTCCACTCACTGTTAATGTTCCAACTCCAGTGTTTTGTGTTTTCTGCACAGAGATATAAAAAACAAATCCAAGGCACTGTCTTGAGGTTTGAGTATTTATGTGGGAAGATGAAAAGTATAATTTTAGAAACTTGTACTCTGCCCTGGATTAAAGTATTTTTCTGTTATCATGTCAAGCTTCATTTACTTCTGCTGGAATACAGAAAAAAGCATAAATAATTTTATT